ATATTTTAATGACAATTTTATATCAAATTTATTTTGCATAATTCATTACTCACAATGCTCACCGTCACATTGTTCATATATGAACTTGTATTTGATGTTGAATCAAGTTTATTGTTATAGATACACGAAAAATCAGTAGTCAGGCGTAGTGTCAACATAGTATATTTTGTCCAATCAGCACAACCTGAAATTGTCAATGACACGAAAGATAATTTATGCCATCATTGTTTTGGTATTATTGGTAGAAATCTTTAATTTCAAATCACTTACAAATTTGATTTACTAATTTAAATTAAATAATGATATCTCTAAAGAAATAACAGATTAAACATTGTTTTTTTTTTGTATATTTATTGCTTATATATTTGTTTTAATATATATATATATATATATATATATATATATATATATATATATATATATATATATATATATATATATATATATATATATATATATATATATATATATACTATTTTTTATTGCAAATTTTTTTTTAGGTGCTGGAAGACCTCACAATTGCTGTAAAAGTCAGGTAGTTAAAAATCTTACAAATCTAGCCTTTGGTATTGGTGCTATACAGGCAGAACAGGTGGCTTCAAATATTATTAAGACTAAAATGGATAACAAAAATTTAATACAAGGAGCAACATTTAATCTAACAACAGGTGGTAACCCAGTTCAGATTACTGTAGGAGTTTCAGGATTAAAATCAGAAAGATCTAAATCTTTAAATATGATGCCTTTTCAGAAGCTGCTAACTTTACAGACCATTTTGGAACTTTCCAAAGCAAGTACTCAGGTCTTGGTTTCTAGTCTAAAAAGTTCAAATGTATTTGGTAAACTAAACGAACTTCAGTTGCATGTTGAATCTTTTAATCTTGCAGAACTAGTTGAGTTTAGAGGAAATCAAGGGTAAAAAATTGATTGCAATTTGGTTTATGTTAAAAATACAAGCGATTTTATAATGAATATTATAAATGAAAGGAATCTTGACCCTTTTAAAGCATTTGCGAATATAGCTGTGGATGGAGGTGGTGGTTTCTTGAAGGTTGCTTGTAACGTGTTTGATCCTGATAATCTGCATTCATCTTCTTCAAAGTATCAAGATAGTGAAGTTCAGCGTTTACAGATCTTAGCTATAGTTGAAGACGTTCCTGAATCTAACTGGAATTTAGAATTAATTATATCAAAACTTAAGCTGGAAGAGGTTAAATTTTATATGGCTTTTGACTTAAAATGTGCCAATGCTGTACTGGGTTTGTCTTCACAAAGAAAATCAGAGTTTGTCTTCTGGGAAATATGCATGTTTGTATTGTACAGGATTATGTTCTTTGACCTCTGGAGATCTTAGAACGTTTGGAAATCTTGATTACTGGTCTCAGAAATATAATAATGATGGATGTCCAACAAAAAAAATGTCAAATTATATGAATGTTATTAATTTATTTGGATGAGGATCCTGAAACATTAATTGTTCATAAGATAGCTCCACCAGAACTGCATTTAATGATAGGTACAGTTGGAGTTTTAGGCAAAGTATTGCTAATTATATATGATCCTGGATTTAAAACTTGGCTATCTTTACATCATATTATTTTTAGAGGCTACCATGGAATTGCTTGGGACGGAAATAATTCTAATAAAATATTTAAAAAAATAGATCTTCTTGAACAAGCTGTTATAAAGGAAATCCCAGTACACCAGCATCTGATATTATCTGTAATAAATTGTTTGCAAGCTTTTAAATCAGTAAAAGATGCAGCTTTCGGAAAACATTTAAACCCAGAATATGAAATAATTATCAAAAACTTTGCGGACATTTTTAAATCTTTGCAAAATGATATTCATGATGCAAAAATAGAGGGATTAGCCTTAAAAACTACATGGAAAATACATATTATTGTAAACCACATAACTCCTTTTCTAGAATATCATAATATGGGTCTAGGAAATTTTGAAGAATAAGCTGGTGAGGCAGTGCATGCTAAGTGCAAACCTACCTGGAAAAGATATAAAGTCAGCACTGAACATAGTAAGCATGGAGAACAATTAAAAAAAGCTGTTGTTGATTTTAACACAAGAAGAATTAAATAATAGTTTATGTGTTGTAGTCTTTTTGTTGTGAATTTTGAAAGGGCAGATCCAAGATCTCAAATGAGTATTACAAAATACCGCAATTATATTTACCTTGTGAGGGCAATAAGATATATATATATATTTTTATATATATACTATCTTAAATATCATTTAACTCACCAAAAGATTTCAAATTTAGTTCAAAAAATCTTTTGGAGTTAAGAACTGGTGACCATGTAAACAATGCCCCCCCCCCTTTTTTGTCTAAATCAAAGGGGTCATTTAGGGTTTTTTTCATACTTAGCACCAGATTTCGATTTTAAACTAAGTTGTTTTTAACTGCTATATATTAGTAAAGACTAAATCAGTCAGAATTTTTTAATTGACACGCATTTCAACCTGGTGGTCGAATTTCAGTGCAGTGAATGGCTAGTGAGCAATATTCTTTTGTAATTAAATGACATTTGTTGTTGTTTTTATTGAAATTTTGTAATTCGAGCTTTATTACGCTATGTGGTTTATGAATAAAAAAATTATATTAATTATAGAATTGAACTCGCAATAAATGTGAACTATAAAGTTTACAAGTTTGTGTTACTATTTTGAGCAACTATTTCAAATTATTTTCTATTTTTCTATTTTTAAAACATTTCTTTTGATGACAGAATTTATTGTATGATGGTGTAAGGGTTCGTCTATAAAGGACATCAAGCAGAATTTAATATGTTTGTGTTTGAGAAATGTGTTATTAATTTAGTTGTTTTCTCGATTTGCTCATGTATCAAAAAAGAAATCCACTTACACGAATGCCCACCAGTGAAAAAGAAATATATATTCAAAAGAATACTCTTAAAATTAAAGCAACAATGATATATTAAGATTAAAAATAAATCAAATATACAATTCTTAATACTAGTTAATTAATATACATTGATTAAAATAATATAAAAATATAAAACTCTTAATATATATTTGAAAATCAGAGTTTAATTTGCTGTGTTGTTGTGAAGCCAATTTAATTTTGTATTAACTTCATCTTCATCTTCAATAAATGTTACAGACAATACTTTTTTTTTGGTGCTATCTAATCAATTTATGTAGCGCTGAAAGGGAGTAGAGGAGGAAAAAAGATAAGAAAAGGACCCTACGTATTCCCAAAACACATTTTAAATTCGGGGGGAAGAGAAGGATTGGAAAATATTTTGACAAATACCCAATTTTGTCAAACCCTGTATAAAATTTTTTCCTGGTTAACACCCTGTTTATGTAATTTTCTGATTGCAATATTTCATTTGGAAAACTAATTACTACCAAATTACAACAAAGAAAAAATATCACTGCTATAAGTTTGGCAAATCATATTTTTTATTAGCGAAACATTAATGATAACATTATTAACTTTGATAGCATTATTACAGCTACAGAATTAATTTTCTTCAATACAGCTGATTTCAAAATATCTGTTTGATGAAATAATTTTTTTCAAGTTGTGCAGCAATTTGTCTATTTTATTAATACAAACATAAATAGCAAAACACACAAAAAAAATAAAAACTTAAAATCTATATCTGTTACACTTTAATGTTAAAAAAACTGGTACATAGTTATGAAAAACATCTCGATTAAACTTTTGTGCATAGCTGTATACTATTTTATTTTTCTGTGCTTTTTTTTTATCTACTGCAAAATATTTACACATACTACACTAATTCTGTTAAACTAATTAAATGTTATATGATGTATTTTAATGATGACATAAGTTTAATCGAGTTAACTAATTATACATTTTTCATACTCGATAACTAATTATTATACTTAATTATTGCTATAAATTATAAATATAAAGAGTACTCATGATTCTTAAATAAAATAAAAAATTTAAAATTACAAAAACTATTTTAATTACAAAAAATTATCTACTGCAATATTTTAAATTTCAATTCGCTTGCAAATGGGTAGAAAAGCAGTGTCAGAGAGCATCCAATGGCAAATTATTGGACTTGTCAAATCAAAGAATCATAACAACGTTAAAATTAGTAAACTTAAACGTGTTTCTGAATTTTGCGTGTGAAAAACAGTGAAAACCTGGGAGCTAACAGGTAACCTTGACATATGTTATAGAAGACCACTGAAGCTTAGTAACCGTGACAAAAGTAGCATATACAGAACCAGTAGAAAAAATCCTAGGCTCAACAACAAAAAGCTAGGTCAATTATTCAACCAATCCTATTCTAATCAAAATGTAAACAAAGAACTTGTTAGAAGAACATTAGCAAAAAAAGGTATTGGGTCTTACATTCAATAAGAAAGCCTATCCTTTTAATCATGGACGAGTGCAAAAGACAAAAATGGTGCAAAGAATGTTTGCATTGGGCAGTTGAAGATTGGGCTAAAGTTCAACCTAATAGAAAATATTTACTCATGGATTGACACTCAATTGGTAAACCATCAAATTCAATCAACTGAGCATTTGAAGCAATAAGTACACTCGATTAAATGCAAATCATTTTATGATTATATAATTATTTATATAATTTTTTTGAATTTTTTTGTTTAACTTCTTATTAATGTTAATTGTATAGCTAATAGATTGTTGTTTTTTTTTAAATCAATTAAATTCATTTTCCTGATTTTTTTTAGTTCAAAAAACCCTAAAAAGTTAGATTAAAATTACCATCTTGATTAAACTTTGGTCCATAGCTGTAGATAAAAATTTATTAATCCAATTTTGAAATTTCCACCATGATGGTGTAGATTCATAATTGGAAGAACAAATCTCTACCTTAAAGGTTGAAAGTCATTATTAGAAAATATAATCTTTACCTTAGAGGTTTCTAGCTATAAAGTTAAAAGTTAACATAAAGTTATTTTTTAGTTAAAACATAAATATGCAAAAAATTAAAAAAAAACAAAAAACATACAGTTATCAATGCCAATAACATACTGAAGAGGGTTTGTAGCATATAATTCGCATTTATCTGGTTCATCAATTGATTTTCCAGTTAGCTCTATACCTTAAAATAAGATATTTAAATGTTTCAATTTGATAAGAAAAAAAGTGCAATAATGTTTAAATTATATATATATATATATATATATATATATATATATATATATATATATATATATATATATATATATATATATATATATATATATATATATATATATATATATATATATATATATATATATATATATATATATATATATATATATATATATATATATATATATATATATATATATATATATATATATATATATATATATATATATATATATATATATATATATATATATATATATATATATATATATATATATATATATATATATATATATATATATATATATATCTGCTAACTTATCAACCATAATAACATAAGCAGTGTGACAAAAACAATTGCTCTTGATATGTCAAGGAGTTGAATTCTGACATGATGATCTTCTCATACAGATGTGAGATCTTGGAGATTTTCTTCTTGGAGATTTTCTTCTTGGAGATTTTCTTGGAGACTTTCTTGGAGATTTTCTTGGAGAGCTTTCAAAATAAGTTAACCCTTTCTAACTGCATTGTTGTTCTTGATGGATACATTAGTAGCTCTTTACTTAAGTGGCTTTACTTGCTAATTTTTACTTTTTTAAACACCTTTTTACTTGTAAATGTTGTTGTAAGGTTGCATCTCCAGCTCTTTTCTATTAATACTACCATGGTCATTCTGTATTTAGGTCATATTTGAGCAGAGATGTAGTCAAGACAGTAAAGGCCAAGACCAAGACTAAGACCAAGACTGAATGCTTCAAGACCAAGGCCAACCCTAAGACATCAAAAAATAAACCCAAGACCAAGACTTTAAAAAGTATTTACAAGAGCGGGATTAGGACTTAGGTTCTAAGAAGTCCAACACAAAAAAAACTCATGCTCACACATGTATGGGGTAAACAGGATCTATCTGTTGACCAGCTTCACACCCCTTCTTTATTTATTAGGCTGGCATAGATGTATTTATAATATAGGTTTCCAGTTTAGAATGTTGAATGCTTAATTCATTGTTTTGCTTGTGTTTTTGTTTTCATGACTAGACAACTTTTGTTATGTACAACTAGAGGGTACAACTTTAGAACTCAGTTTTATGGTTCTAAAACCAGCTGTTAGTTTATATTGTTGAGGCTACATTTAGAACCTTTCTTATGGCTTAGGGTTTATTAATAGAAATGAGGCAATTGCTTGGACTAGTAGATAGTGTACTGAGTACTATCTGTGCTTTGAGTCAAATTCTTTAGTCAATTTAAAAAATGACTAAAGTATCAAAAACTATAAAAAGCAAAAAACCATTGTCATAACCAAGTTCTCTAAATCTATCAATCAATGATATTTGTGGTCTTTAAAATAAATTTTCTTTTGTCCTATGTCTTGAAAAGAAAAAAACTATAATTTAGCTGTCTCATCTTGTGACGAGACAGCTGAACTCAAATTAGATGTGTTGATGGCTATCTTTCTTTAATTTGTAAAGACTCCAATAGTCACATGCTTGGCCTAGGCATTTACATTTGTAAGAACTCACCCATTTGTTTGGAAACTTGATTTGAATCCACAGACTATTTTTTTATGCGCTTTCGTTTAGCTCCACTTCACTCTATAACCTTTCACTATGTTCTATATTCAAGACCAATACCAAGAACAAGACAGTTAAATATGAGTCTCGAGGCATCTTGAGAACAAGACTTTGGTCTCAAGACCTACATCTCTGTATTTGAGAGAGTGTCACATCATATTTGAGAGAGTGTATGTGATGATGTATTCATAGCTACTAGAGATTTTGATGTATGATGATAATGATGATGATGATGATTTTAAATTTTTTCAATTAAAAATTAATTTTGCAACAAATATTTATCTTTTGGATGCTATATACTTTTATTAAGAATTATATTAGTTATATAACAATAATAAGTTAATTTAAAGTTAACTAACAAATCCACTTTTGCATGGTTAAAAGATAAACCTCAATCCAAACATCTGCACCTAAATTTTAGAATAAAAACTTATAAAAATTTTTGTTATAAATATCTTAATATATATATAAATATATATATATATATACATATATATATATGTACATATATATATATATATATATATATATATATATATATATATATATATATATATATATATATATATATATATATATATATATATATATATATATATATATATATATATATATATATATATATATATATATATATATATATATATATATATATATATATATATATATATATATACTTTTTTAACGCTAGAATATTTATTTTTTTAAATTAAAAACAATACATAAAATTAGGTGATTAAAACCTTTTTTAATAACAGATGATTTTGCACTGGATTTTTTGTTTGATTTGATTTGTTTAGGT